ACGGCCCAAAAGGTGGCGAATACAGCCCAGGAAAGCCTTGAGAGGCCCCCAAGAGGCCCAAACAAGCCCTCTGGAGGCATCTGAAGGCTCCCCAACGGCCCCGAAGCGGCTTCAAACCGTTTCCAAGAGAGGGGGCTGGACGAGAGGCGAGAGGCCCATCGCAGGCCTAAAAGATCAATTCTTCACGCTCTCAGAGCCCTGGATTCCTGTGTTCTAGGCGGCGTAGTGGAGAGGAGGAGAGGAAAAGAAGCAAGAGGAGGATGATAATTAGAAGAACGAAAACCATATGGACTACCAATGATCAAGTATGATCTCCGTATCGGCGCCCGAAGGGGTCGGCGGTGTGGTGTAAGCCACTGAATCAGATCGGAGGACGTCAGGGTCGGCACGAGGTCGGAACCGAATCGGACTGGCCCGCGCCACAATGCATACCAACGTCATGCAACCATCAGACTGCGCCAGATCGTCGGAAGATCAGAATCGAACCGGATCGAGCAGGCCGAAATCGGAATCGAATCGGATCGATCGAGTCGGACTGGATCCTGCACTCAGCGGCCACCTTGTATAGAATGACCCCTTGGAGATCCCAACTAGTGGTCTTCATTCTCCAAAAGCAGTTCAGAACTGTTCTGAACAATGCAAAGCAGTGTAACTAATGTAAACCATTCCATGGCGTTGCTTTGGCATTGTTTGACGTTGCGTGGCACTGACTTTGCATTGGCTTTGCGTTACCTGGCGTTGCTTGGCATTGCTTGGCGTTGCATGGCGTTGCTTGGAACCGTTGCATGGCATTGCTTGACAAGGCTTTACATTGCTTGGCGCTGCTTGGCGTTGCTGGGCAGGGCTTGACATTGCTTGGCATTGGCTTTGCATGGTCTGGCGTTGTTTGGCATTGCTTTACACTGCTCGGCGTTGCTCAGAACTGTTGTTTGACATTGCATGGCATCGCTTGGCGCTACATGGCATGCATGGGCATTGCTCGGCGTTGCTTGGCAACGCCGGGGGCGAAGGACCCCGCACCCGTCCGTTCCTTTCGCAATCAAATAATAGGGGAACGAAGAATGACGTAAACATAAAATCTCGGAGGTCCGCGCGGATTTCTCGGATCGGCGCTGGGGCCCCCTGGCGGCGCCTCCGGCGCCGCCCCTGGCGCGCTCCGCGCGCAAGGGAGAGGGGTCCAGCGCCGATCCGAGACAATCCGCGCGGACCTCCGAGTTCGTATGTTTATGTCATTCTTCGTTCCCCTAAGTAAGGTGATGGGCCTGTTTGCCACCACCACCACCATAAGTTGGAGGGGCAAGGAGGTGGAGGAGGAGGACGAAGAGGAGGAGGAGGAGGAGGAGGAGGAGGAGGAGGAGGAGGAGGGGGAGGAGGAGGACCTCCTCCCCCCTCCAGCTTATGGTGGTGGTGGTGGAAACCAGGCCCATCATAAGCACCCCAAGCAGGCAGAGCCGAATTGGGGAACAGCACCACGTACATGAACGCAGTGTTTCGGAGGCCCGTGCGGATTCCTCGCATCGGCGCTTCCCCGGCCACGACGCGCCCCGGCCACGAAGAGGCCCTCCGACCTGGACCCGGGCAGGCCACCAGGCGGCGCGGTCCTCGCTCCAGCGTCTTGGCTGCGTCTCCTCGGCCGGCGGCACGCTTCGGGGGCCTCACGTCGGTGCAGCGACAGCCCGAGCCGTGACCCCGACATCCCCGGAGACCTCACCGCAGGGCCCGTCCTGGACCTGCGGAAGCCCCAAACAGGTCCTCGCTTCAGCGTCTTGGCTGCGGCTCCTCGGCGGGCGGCACGCTTCGTTGCCTCACGTCGGTGCAGCGACAGCCCGAGCCGTGACCCCGACATCCCCGGAGACCTCACCGCAGGGCCCAACGCCGCAAGCTTTGTGTCTTCTGGAGGCCACCAGTCGCCCGATTCATCCTCGGAGAGCGATCCAAGCCCCAAAAGCGTGCGGCCACCCTGGATCCCCACTGACTCGGTGGCGTCCGAAATGGGGACGACCAAGAGGGAGGTTCGCAAATCATGGCCCGAAGCACATGCGCGGTCCAGGGGGGGGGACCAAGGGACATACAGTCGGACCTAGGCCAGAAGCACATCCCTCAAGAACATGAGACCCTCCGTCAGCCAAAACAAACAGAAGATCCAAGGGTACCCCCCAGGATGCATAAGAAATCCAACAGACACGAAGAACACTAGGGTACCCTCCCCGAGCCGACCTCGATCTTATGCCTCGGTCCGGCTGTACTAGAAGTCAAAAGAAAGGGCAATGAAACCTGGGAGAAAATCATGACCCCCGCCATGATCTCCCTTCCCCCCCGGTCCCCACCCCCTCTTCCCAGATACCGAGCTGCTCAATCTTTTCGGAACAGAAGCCCTGGACCTCCCCACCACTGCCCCAGGACCGGCTTGTCATCCCGAGCCGTCCTTCCATGGCCCCGAGGCCCGTGCAAGGGCCCCGAGAGGCCAAAGCTATGAAAAACCTCCGCCTCGACATTTTCG